CAATCATCTTTAAAATGATCTGAGGTTATAATACAATAAAATATTTTTTCATAATAGAAAACACTTAATGGTTTGTGTACAAATGTTTCTAAATATCAGTGAAACCTGAACCAAAAAGTGAAAATTCATCATTAAATTTAATATCGGTGCAAAGAGTGATTAAAGGTAAAATACCAAAACAACCAAATGAAAAACAACAAGATGAACACTGTACTGATGGTCTGCACGTCATTAAGAAAACGAACCATTTCTGTTAATTACTTCACTGAGTGAAAACCAAGTCACGCCATCTACATGGATAAAATGACTAAGTTGAACTCCTCCTGAAATTAATTGAAGGGTTTGACGATTTTCATGGAAATGTAGTTCTGAAAAACAACAAACAAACAAAAAAATTGATTAGCGTTGTACACCTTACATCTCAAGCGTAAAGTCTCAACAGGATTGATGAAGTGCATCCTTACGGGTAATGAATACAACAAGATCCCAATGAATAATAACACTAAGATTAGCACAACCAAGCCGATGAACAGCCATTTAAATCTTCGCCACACTATGAACTTGCACGTCTTGCATGGATTTGTAAACCAAAAAAACGAGGTTTCAGGTCGCCTGAGAAGTTGAAAAGAGAAACAAATCTTGTGATGATCTTCGGTTAACAAATAATTACAGTAAAAATATATAACGTGAGAACACAATTACTTGGGAGGATCCAGTTTCGGATTCATATTGGGCTCATCTCTGCCTTTTCCGGCAGGTCTCTCATCCGCTTCCTTCTCATTCACAATCTCCAAAGTCAACTCAACCTTTCCCTGCAACCAACACATAAACAAGCCCTAATTAATCAAACTTGTAGAAAAAAAAAAGTCAAAATGAAATAACATTCATAACCCATTTTACCAAAATTTCATGCATTTGCAAGTGAAACATATTTAATGTAGAGAAGGTTTGACTGAATCTATCTGTTTGTATCATGAAAATCAAATGTCATACCGCACCATACAGAAATACATAAAAACTGGGGGAAAAAAGACTTTGTTAGCTGTACTTACACCGAGTTCCCTCTTCCCATCTTTATCCATGTAGCATGGCCACCATCCTCTAACTGACTTCTGGTCAAAAAGAGACTTAAATTGGTCTGATTTTGGAGGTGTAGTTCCATCCGGCACCATGCTAAGGCTACATTTCTCCGGTGTTTTGGAAGGGTTGATGAGGTGCTGCAGATCAAGTTCAATAGCACCTGTAACATAAGTGAGATTAATACACAGACCCAAAAATATGACCACAACAAAACTTCCAAGATCTGCATACACGCGTCTCACCTAGATAATCATCCAGAGAGAATTTGTCATTATCCCATATTTGAACAATCAGCTTGGGTGGGATTCTAAACTCTGATTTGTCGAGGCTCCAGAAATGTTCCTTTTTAACAGAAAGGAAAGAATATTTTAATACTTCCAAGTGCTCTTCATAATACGTTAAATGCAGCCAAACCACATTACCTTTTTAGATACAAGACACAGCTGCTCTGCAGGCAAGTA